AATCTACGACGGTGAATATTGTTTCGAATGCGGTAGATAATATTATGATCTATTGAGACAGATTTAATGAGCGAACTGGCAACGTCGCTGTTATTTTTTTTGAGGACGCCAAATACGCGGACTTATACTGAGAAAATCCCAAAAATATACAACTGTGGATATACGCGCTACAGCAGCGCTCTATCCGCGCTGAGATTTCTTTGGGAACTTTTCAAAATACTATAACAGCCATTGAACCGATCTTTTGGGGTCTGTCGATTTTTAACCTACGTGTAGCCAGGACCAAAAGGACCTAAGTAGCATAGACCAAAAAAGTGGCGTCCGGTATGCGGACGCCAAAAGCAGGTGGACGCCAGATTAAATGCACTTTTGCCTTCATGGGACGTCCAATCGATAGCGGGATGTAAATATACATATTCGGGTTTCATATATATATATATATAAATGAAACCCGTTTCCCGTTGTCACACTATAACTTTGGCTTTTTTGTTTGTGTAATTCGGCTAATTTGTTGTTTGTTGTGTTTGATATTGTCAGGGGAATGTTTTTATGACAAAAAAAATCTGAAAATCCTACGGGAACGGAAGAAAACGGGATCGCGCGTACGAAGTCGCGGGCAGAAGCTAGTTTCATATAAATATTGTCTGATACTAAAGATATATCTAATCTAAGAAGAAAGTAAAATGTTGAAATTATACCTGCATCTACTATAATTAGCCATTAGTACGTGCCTGACTTCATATTGAACATAACATAATATAACATCACGTCTTTTATCCTCGAAGGGGTAGTCAGAAGTGCACATCATGCCACTTTTCACCTTTCACTATTTATGTTATGAGTTCCATGTAATAGGGGGTGAGCCTATTGCCATATAACCGGACACAATTCCAGACCCCGTGCTACTCCTGAGATTTTTTTTAATAACCCGTAATAATAATACGTTGCATGACCCGGCAATCGAGACCCCTTGCCCGGCAGTCGCACTTGCGACCACTCGGCCAACGAGGCAGTCAACTTCATATTGAAATCAATGTCAAAAGTACTTTACCAGGCTCAGGATTAGATACAGAACCATCAGTCACGCATGTGAACATTGCTTCAACGGAGCAGTAGTTCAATGATTGAGTGACAACCCTACTTGTCATAAAGGACTTTCAGACAAAACTCGCGTGATGTGCGGTTTACAGGGACTTTGTTATTGTACGGTTTTAATGGTTAGACTTTTTGAGACAACTATGTGAAATTACTCGCAACATAGCGACAATCAAGGCAGTAATTTCTGTTGAGTTTTAAATACGCTTGCTTCTTGCATCGACCATTGTTTTTGTCTCTGCATCACCCAAAGGTCTGGCTGAAGGAGAATGTCCTAGGCATTAAGCCCACCTTGTACATTAGTGTGTGCATGAAGTCTTTTAAAATAAAAAACATGGAAAAAAATAACATGGAAAAAGTAGGACACGCCTCCTAATTTTATTGTCTCCAGATATCCATACAATAAGTGCGCGACGTTGAGACGCGAAAGACAAACCAGCATACCTTTGTATTTGTATTATTATTAGAAATGATATGTAAAGAACATAAACGTACATACAACCTTACACCTGTCTCCCATGAGGGTAGGCAGTGACTATGAAACGCCGATTGTAAAGAAAACATAAATACTTATTTGCTTCATAAAAGTCACACGCTAAGAATAAATAAATATGTGCACGTTCATGCTGTTGGTTGGAACATTGACGGATCTATACAAATAACTTACAACTTGACTAGTAAATCAATCAAAGAACAGAAAAGATACTCTATCATACTGTAAATCATGTTGCTAAGAAAGTATCCTAACTGACGTAATACTAAAACCGCGCGTTCGCCGTCCGTTCGTGTGAAGCTCCTTAACTCCACTCCGCGGTTTATAGTCTGACTAATGTCTTTACTGCTGCTATGCCACGAGATAATCTTGTATCGTCGTCGCATCAACCGCTTTGTAACCGTAAAAGCTTCGTTTCACGACCTACTTCTCTATGGGATATGTGAATGACGGGGAAAGTGATTTTTTATAAATACTAAATGAATGAATGTTTATAAGTAAGATGTTTTCTGGAAGTTACTCTTATTCCTACTCCTACCGTTTTTTAAGTACACGTAATCCCTAGGGTTGTTTAAACGCCCTTCAAAGTTAGATTCAATTTCACAATTTCATCAAAAACATATTAGCATTTATAAAACGCAAACTTGGAACATTATTTATAAAAACAATAAAATATAGGTTTCTGAAATATTTTCACCGATTCTTTTGATAAATAAACACAACTGACGTGCAAGTCAATATTGTTTATCTCGATTTAAATATGTACGCAAACTAGAGTCTAGACATGTCTGACCGTCAACTTGTGAATTTAATATATATTAACATAATATTACGTCTTCTATTGTCTAAAGGGGTAGGTACAGAAATGTGTAAGACCTTATTCTCACCTGTTATCTTGTAAATACATTGTACCTAGTACAGGTGAGATTGTTGTCTTAGACCGGTTGTCATTCCACAGCACAGTCGCTAATTAAGACATTCTAACAACTTAAAAATACTCTCTTTGTTTAGTTTAGTTTTTCGTGTTTTATTCAATTATACTGAGAATAGAACTCACGACTGAGGGTCGGTCGTGCCCATTTTACCTACCAGACCGTCTTAAAACTATTAAATTTTTTTCTGAAACTGTATTTAGAGATAAGTATAGTGGTATATTTTTATCGAAATTGACAGTACCTTTATCTCTTTCCAGAATCATGTTGCACCAATGGCTCATCATCACATTCTCATGGCTCGGTACTGTGCGACCGCAGTACATCAACAGCGGCGCGTCTAACGGCTACACCCTGACCTCCGTCGACTCCAACATACAGTACCCCATACCGTACTACTTCAACCTGCCCTCCTCGAGGAACGACTATGAAACCGTTCAGAACATTCCTCCAAATATCCCCATAAGTCCGTACGAAAATAACCAACCTGACCTCCCAAGAAAACGTCGGGCTCCAAAGGAACAAGAAGAAATCCGGGAGAAACGATGGCTGTCCAACATGGTAGACATGGACCAAACCTTGTATGGTCAGGAGGAACAGCTCGGGAATCCTGGCATGAATAGCATCGAAGGAGCCCTCGATGAGAATGGCACCAACCTGCTGAATGTCAAGGATAAGAAATACTTCAGTCCGTGGGGAGGCAAGCGAGATAAAGCTAGTATCGAGCACATGTGGACTTGGAAACGAGCCAGTAACATCCGAGAGCCGAGCATGCCTAAACGTGTTCGCTTCAGCCCCTGGGGAGGAAAGCGGAGCGGCCAGATGATCTACAAGCCCGGCTCCAAGAGTTCCAAAATAATCTTCTCCACAACCATACCTGAATTAACGAGAATAGTCTCCAACTACTCTCCAAATGGAAATGAACGATTCAACTTCGCTGGGTTCCAATTCATCCCGACACTGGACAAGCGGCACCCTATCAAGATCTTGGCTCTGAGCACAAAGACTGACGAGAGGACGCTGCGGGAAGCTATGCCCTTCAAGAGCTTTCTAGAGTCTCTGCCTAAAATATTCAAACCTGGACATCCGTATTTGGATGTTAACCTGAAGAAGGATGGCAAGAGGAAGGTGAAATTCAGCGCGTGGGGAGGCAAGCGGTCACCGCCTATCATCGGCCCCATCTGGACGCCCGCGCCACAGAACCTCAAGGAATCGACGTTAGACACGATACTCCTAATAAGGAACAGCCAGGATAAAGATGACTCGACATTAAAGGCTTTGTAATGTGGATCCGATGTTTTGCTCCCGAACTTTGTATTTGTTGAAGGTCTAATATAGATATAGTTCCGTTATAGTTATGTTAGTGCCATATTTGTAACTGATATTAGAAAAATGTAAAAAAAATCGTAAAGTTCGGGGGTCCCGCGTCCTTGACGATAGGCTGGGCTCGTCAGCGACGCAGTACTGATGTAACTAATGTTAAGACTTTGTTATTCTTATTTACTGCATCTTGTTAGTGAATATATAAAGTATTAAGTTATATGTTGCAACTCATTTCTCCCCAACTCTATGGTGAACAAATAATAAAATGTAGTATGTGAATCAGAAAACATATTTATTTTCGTCCTTTTAGTTATAGGCACAAAGGTTGAGAATATCGGGTATCACTGAACAGTTCAATAAACATTGTCTTTTACAATCTGATTGAGTTTAATGGAAGGATAATAATATAATCATTTCTATTACTTATTCAATTGAAAGCCAAAACCCCTAAATATTTCATTATTTAATCAATAATGATGCATAGCACATTACAAGGTTGTTTGAGTAGACAGTTTACATAATACCGGAGTAAGTATATTAACAATATACTTCTTTTTGAGCAGTACAGGACCAACATTATAGGCTAGACTATTTTATTTTTGTAAACAAGTAAGTAAATATTTCTGAGGTATTTCCAAGGCTTGTATAGATCTCATTATTTTCAATAAATCCAAATAAAAGTTTAAATAGCTAGCATACTAAGTAATTTGGTACCATTATTGGTTAAAAATATTTATGCCAACAGAACAGAATTAAAACACAGTAACACTTAAATCTAAGCAGTTCTTAGGATGATATGGACTCCGGAGTCAGTCTCCACGGGCCGGCTGAGCTGTCCCACCTTTAGTTTGAATGCTTCTTCTTCAAATGGAGCCTGCATTTGTCCACGGCCAAACAAGCCCAAGTCTCCTCCACGCTTAGCAGAAGAACAGTCAGAATACTTAGACGCCAAGTCAGTGAAAGTCGCGTCGCTAGCCACAATTTGCTTGCGGTAGCCTTTCAGAAGTTCCAAAGCCTCTTCCTTAGTACGAGTGATGTTTTCTTCTCTCCATGACGATGGACGCCTGCTCTCAGCATGCTTCACTAGGAGATGGCTGCAGCGGATTTCACCAGGGTCGGCAGGCGCCTCCGGTCTCTCCCATTGAGACTTCTTAGTGTACATGTTCAAGAAGTAAGTCATACCCGTGGACCGGCTAGTTCTCATCTCCCATCCTTCAGGCAAAGGGGCTTCATTCTCCTGGCTTGACATTCTGCAATAATTTTTTCAATGGTTTTGGTCGGTTTACAGAGTAATACTAAGACAATGTTTATTGAGAAAGTGTTGATACAAATTAGTGTTTGATATCAAAAAAAGTAAATAATTTAGGACGTCAAGATTACATCTAATCATTAATAAAGTAAATTGAAATAAATGAGGTAAGAAATAAACCGTCAGTTCACCATAAAATTAGGAGAATGTACAAAAATATGCCAACAAACTACAAAATTCTTAAACATAACCTATGATGTTTAATAAGTTATAAAAAATAGTCAAATATAGACATTCAAATAAGTGGTACTTACCTAAATAATCGGGCACTCGTCGAACTTTAAATTGTAGAAAGGCGAATCTGTTTTTACAAGAGAATTACGGGTAAAACAAAAACAATTTGCCGTTTAAAAGGCGTTCGTTTGACTCAAAGAGAATATACCTTGTTTGACACTATGACAGGACGCCGATTTTGACAGCTTTAGTTTTTTTAGAGATGTCCATTGTGTTCTTTTTTGACATACTAACCGCTGATATGATACGGACTAATACTACAAGAAACGGAAAAGATATAAATAAGTACTACAACTAATAGATGAAATTAAATAAAAGAAAACTGAAAATGACTATTTACAGAGACCATCAAAATTTTTGGTTTGATAAATCCATTGCATACGTGGCACGTTTATGTATAAGATGAAACTAAACAGATAATAATATAATTACATTAGTATTTGTCATTACTGTTACTGATTTAGTCAGTGTTAATAGAGGTGTAATCCTCTTCTCTATGCATACTATTTTTCTATGTCATCCTGTTTTTTCTGTTACAGATTTGATACAAAAGGTTTTGAGTTGAGCCCATAGTCACTTCTTTGTACCAACAGATGGCAATAGTAGTAACCCCATTTTTAATATTATTTTTTTATTTGATTAATATAATTACGTTACCTATGTATCAAACATTTTTAATGAAGAGGTAAATGTGGATATGGTGAAATATCTTTCTTTATAAAAAAACATTTAGTACTATATAGTACTATATAGCCTATATACTATACTAGGCACCTACTTAGGTAGGTAGTACTTTAATTAATCACACTTCATTTCTAATAATATTGATCATTAAACTTGCAAGCAATGTAAAATTCTAAAATAGGAAATACTTTCCTCTGTCGAACAACAGCAGAGCTTTCCAATAAGAATGTACATATAGAACATAGCGACATCTCTTGTCAGAATTTAAAACTAACAAAGACTACGTTTAGCCAGTATAATAAAGTAGTCTTTGACTACGTTTCATGAGAGTTTTCTATTGTGATGGAGTTGAAAAGAAAATTGAAAAGTAAACACTTCGATCGGTTTGCTTAATATTGTAACGACATTATTACTTATAGATGGCGTTCCATGGCCTTTATGTGAAACAAAGGCAGGGCACAAACGTTTGCAAATAGAAGATTGAATCGAAACAGAACTGGCCTTTTGTTTTAGTTACATAACGGATTGAATTTTTTTGATTTTGATTGGACGGTAGACATTGAATTTGAGTTTCGATAGGTATACTTACTTACACGTACTTACCTGTATTATTTTTTATTTAGGTAGGAAGTAATTATATTATTGACATCCTTAACTCGACAGCAATTACACCCAGGCGTCGCGGAGAACCTAACGGGTAACCGGGGCTCCGGCTCGACATGCAGGAGAAGGAACGGGGTGGTTTTTAGTCAGTAAGAGTCTGTAACTCCCTCCCGCCTCACCCAGGCGGGAGCAGTCATTCGATGATTTTCCCCCTTAAAAAAAGTTATACCTAGGTATTGATTTGATTTTTACTTTACTTTGACCTATACCTGACATTTTTTTTCTTTTCTCTATGATTTGTACCATCTACCTACAATTTTAATACTAAGGTTAATAACAATAAATGTTACCTACTTATCTAAAAATGTTGCAATGTCTGTAAAAGGCCGCTAAGTATTAAGCACTACGATAATTCTGTAACCGTCATCTGTACACTTAGTTGCAATAAACGCTTTGATTTTGATTTTAGTTTATGTACCTATCTATTACAGGCATTTTTGAGTGTGGGAGAGCCATGCTTCGGCAAGAATGGGCCGGCTAGACCGGAGTGATACCACGGCCTCATAGGAAACCGACGTGAAGCAACGCTTGCGTTGTGTTTCGTCGTGTGAGTGAGGTTACCGGAGGCCCAATTTATTACCCTCCCCTTCCCCAATCTCCACAATCCCTGAATCCTCAACGATCCTCAAACTCCTAATCCCCAAAAGGCCGGTAACGCACTTGTAACGCCTCTGGTGTTCCAGGTGTCCACGGGCGACGCCGATTGCTTACCATCAGGTGATCCGTCTACTGGTTTACCGGCTTATGCCATAAAAAAGGCATAGATATGATAAATAAGTTGATTTATTATTTCTGTGATTATAGGACTTGTAACATTCAATATAATTATAGTGTGGACTATGAGTAGGTATGTGTGTTTATAACTTTTTTACTTTTTTTACTGAGAGACTACGTCATTGTTGTGAAGTGGTTTTTTAAGGGCGGAAAATCATCGATTGACTGCTCCCGCCTGGGTGGGGCGGGAGGGAGTGTCAGACTCTTACTGACTAAAAACCACCCCGTTCCTTCTCCTGCACGTCGAGCCGGAGCCCCGGCAACCCGTTAGGTTTTCCGCGACGTGTGTTTATGACTGCCAGACCGATTGGTCAAGTGACCGCAAATGTGTTATGCAATGCATGGTTTTAGTTATCATAATGTTCATTATCAGTCGTGCAAAGTAATATAACAGTACCTAACTTACTTTTGAACTTTTTCAGAATTATTATATAGTATTCTCAGTACTCAGTAAGTATGCATTTGAAGTAAGCAATATGTTTCGAATTGTGTCCGGTATATGGCAATAGGCTCACCCCCTATTACATGGGACTCATAACATAAATATTTTGGGCAGCTCTCACAGCCGAAATCTCCGTTCAGCTGAAAGTTTGCTTCTAGAGATCCCGTCTCACCACACTTCCTTCGTTTCTAACTCCTTCAGAGTCAGTGTAATTAAATTATGGAATGCACTACCCCATAGTATAAAAATGGCTCCAAACAAAATGGCTTTTAAACGTAGTGTTCGTGTGGCCTATTTAAAGGCGCTACAACGCTGAGTTCGTGTCTTCTTTAATTTATATCTTCGTCAATTTATATTATATTATAATTATATATATGAAGTTATTTATGTATGTACATATTTTGTGTTTATTATATATTTTTATACAGTAGGTTATACAGTATTTATTATTACTATTAGTTATTTATTTTGTTTTTTTTGGATATTACACAGGCCCATTTTCGCTGAGCTTACATTTAACCCAAAGGTTGACTGGGAGAAAATGCCATATGGCATTAAGTCCGCCTTATGTACCTTATTTTGTGTGCATTAAAGTGTAAAATAAATAAATAAATAAATAA